TCTGCCACCGTCAGTCAGCACTGGCAATAGTCAGTGTTTGGAAGTTTTTATTTTTAATCTGAATGTTAGGGATATTTTTTGTTTGTGAGCATTGACGAGGTAGCGAGGATGACATTTCGGGATGTATTTTAAGGATGATGTTGATTAGGAAAATAAAATGAGGGTTTGGGGGAAAGAGATCAGTTTAGCGGGATATTTTAAGAAGATCGCAAACTGTCAATATTTACCGTGTCGTGCTAGGGTTGGTAATCGGAAGGAAGTCAAGTGCAGTCCATGACTGAATGAGTTCCATTAGGAATAATAAGTAGAGGATTTTAGTGGGATCGGTGCTCTTACAAGATGATGCGAAGGCGTCGTCGTCATCGGTAGCGCTCGATATGGATCACTTGGAGCAGCATCGAATGCAGCAGCAGGTAAATTCAATGTCCAATGCGTTTTTATTCGTTGTTGAAAATGTTGCTCTAGCATTTGCTGTGAGAAACTTGTTATTAAATTGAGTTGTTCTTAAAGTGAACGCACCGGAATGGGTTGATTTCCATACGAGTTATTCTCTTTGCTAGGCTCTTATCAAATTTCGGAAATGTGTCGTTATTTGCAGATATCCCTAATTGACGAACAAGATGCGTACGTGCAGGCACGTTCAAGCACAATGGAACATATCGAAAGTAGTATTTCGGAACTGGGTCAAATATTTAGTCAGGTTCGTTTAGGAAGAAAGGCATTTTTTCAGTTTAAAGTTGTTCGCGATTGTGAAAAATTGGGACTGACCTGGGAGAAATTTGCTGCAAACTGTGAAGTGTGGATTCTGCGTGAAATTATGAGCATCTTAAAACTAGATGAAGCGTATGAAAAGTGGTGAATAGTTGAATGGGCATCTGATTTGTAAACGTGAGCTGTGTCTCGCGCTGACTTAGTGGATTTGAATTCTCGTTTTGACATTGCAAAATGGCACGTGACATATCTTTGAACTCACAATCAGATAATTTCACATTGGGTTCAT